AATTGGGTATAGCATTAAATCACCAAAAAGTTTTCTTCTCACCCTCAAACCAACAGGAAAAGCGAAAAGCCAAGATTGCCAAGCGGAGAATAGCTCAAGTACAAAAAGGGAACACATTAACTCAGGCGAACAAAATCCAAAAAATAGGCGCCTAAGGTTATACAGTACTGCAAGATACTGCAAAAGGAACCCATGATAACTTACTCAACAGATTGCCTTTAAGAAATGGAAAAGAAACAGAATTATTTCCTTCATCCATGTCAATTAGAAAGAAAGCTGAATTCAGTTACAAAAAAGAAAAAATAACAGAACATGAGATGAACTTGAAAGGAATCACCTACGAACTAAATGTCACGATGAATTTTATAGACAACTTGGATTAGTGAATACAAAATGTGATTTTGGTCCCTATCTATATACGGAAAAGAACATAATTCTCACATCAGTAAATCACAAATTTAACCTCTAACATGCTAGTCTTACAATTCAAAATTCTCATCACTTCAGTTGCAAACAAATGCTGAAGGTACGGGTGAGAACTATAATCTAGGAGTAACATCTGCTAAAAGCATCTTCAGAGTCTCATAAGACATGAAACATATACCAACACCAGGCACCACTTTGTAGTATTCAGGCAGGATCCCCCTGTACAAACCCCGGAAACCTTCAGTCTGGATTACATGCCTAAATATGCCAAGAAGCCCTGTTGTGTAAACATGGGCTCGACCACCTGCCCCTTCCAATTGTTTCCGTCTCCTTATCAGATCCAGGGGAAATGTTGCTGCACATTTGACAGAAAAGAAATAATGAAAACAGCTGTGCATTATTGTTGTGTGAGGCAGTCCTCTTGTAATTGAATTTTTTTCCATGGATCACTAAGGCCAGGTCATTAATTTGTATTAAAATCCTACCTATTCCTTTACTTAATTACTAGAACAATCTCAACAAGTAAAATTTGAACATGACTTTTATTTTTAAATCAATTTCATTCTTTGTAGGCTGCATTTGGTTTGTTTCTGTCCTAATCCTTATATTGGCCTTAAAAGAAATACTCTAGGAATTCAATGTAGGTGTTGGACAGCTAAAACACATCAATAATGTTCTAATCATTAAGATTTGTATGAACTTTGTATCAGGAAATAACTAAGAATTACACAGGAAATGAACCAAAATGCAATCAAATTCTTTAGCCATAGATTTCTAGTTCCTACTTGACTATCTAGTGCTATATATTTTGCGAACACTTTTAAATGATTATTCTTTTTAAAAGAAAGATAAGAATTAAACAAGACGGACTATTAAAGCAATGAATTTCTCTCACATCTTGACCATTGAGAATATTTATTAAAATAAGTAGCCAGAATGGGAATTATGAAAAAAGATCTTTCTAATTCACTCTGAAAAGTAGTCATTAGAAAAAGTTCTGCTTAGAGAAATCTAGTATCATATCATGTTACAAGCTGCCCACCAACCTATGCTCCCAATAATTCAGGTTTACAGTACAAACAGCATTTAGATAATATAGCTACCATGAAAAGTGACTTCTTACTAATAAGGAACTAGGCTTAGAAATAACTACATTGTAAACGAAAGCAAGTCCTTCAACAAAATAACATATGCTAAAAATAAACATGATATCAGAGAAAGATATGGTTGAAAAGCAGTAATCTCAAGCATATGATATGAATGCAAAATAATTCCTGCTCATAAAGAGTACTTGAAGTCATGAGCAGCTTCCATAATAATTCCTATAGCAAATATGTGCAATTATGAAGATGGGAGAACACTTACGAGCTCAAATCCTTAAACGCCAAGAAGTATGCATGCATGAGAAGGAGATTATTATTGTACAGAAAATTGAAAATAATATGCATTATGGATATGCATCAGGTTATGCATACATGGATATGCATCAGGTTATCTCAAAAAATGGATATGCATCAGGTTATGCTAAAGCTTACAGGTAACTTCATTTAATATGGTGACACTTCTACCTCGTCAGGGTAACTGCTTTTGTTTTAAAGGAAGTTGCCAGTTTGGCCTTCAAATGTATGCAGCTGTATCACCATGTTCTATTTTCATTTGTCAGTAAATGGAGAAGTAGAATTGGTTCTGATCAGCTATATATTATGCAAGTGAAAAATGGTTTTCCGACAAATGCAGCAGCAATGCTTGTCCATCTCCACTCCATTAAGCAAATGGAAAGGAGTCAAATTTAGATGCACACTTCAATGAGGACACCTCTCCCATTTGATAACTGAGAGAAAAATATTGGTTCACCTGAGAGTACTGCCACCCTTATGATGAAACCAACTGCAATGCTTCGAGAGACAAGTTACTGAAGCAATGTTGGACGATCATATTATATCAATGTATATTTATGAAGAAAGAGGAACCTTTTCTTTTCCAAAAAAATATTTTTGTGACTTCCTTACAAAAATTCTCAAATGCCACTAAAAAACAACTCCAGTCTGGGCCTTTGGCTCAAGGGGTTGTCTGATTAGGTACTTAATGCAGAGCCAGCACCACACCCTGCTTCTCTGCATCAAAACCATAGTAAACAGCTACATGGATTAACTTCTTATTGTTAAATAGTGATGTTTCCAATCAAATAAATGCAAGTACTCCAAGATTTTTAATTAAATATTGCTGATCAATATTCAATTAATTTATTAAACTAGAAAATTATCCATCAAGAGCCTTTACTACTTCATGGAGGAGTCACAACATTATACCAGAAGGGGAAATCTTTTAAGGTAAATTCTGATTGCTCGTGGGACAATACACTGCAACGGTTTATTAGAGTTGGCCCCGACCGTGAAGAAAAGGCATTTGTTATTGTCATAAAGAAAAAGTACAACTAAAATTGACGAGAAAGTTCTGATGCATTAAGTATTAAGACTACTCACCTGTTGATGATGCAATGCCTGAAAGACTGCCACAAGCCAGACTGACCATTATAGTAGAATCCTGAGGCCTGATGTCAAAATTACAGCATGAGAAATTAGAACCTTTGTGATTTTAAGACGGAATGTTGATACTATAAATTTTAAGAATCATAATGTAGGGGTGATCACCTCTGTGATTTCCAAAAAGATCTCAAGCTCTCATACACTGAAAAGCTAATCGCAATGCTGGGCCCAACACCCTGAATTAACATCAGAACTTTAGTCACACATCAAAATGTGAAGCACAAAGGATAACTATCCGGATAACTAATTAACAAGCATACTAAAAGTGTTGCTCCAAGTCCCTTATAAAGACCCAAAACACCCTCCTCTCTGATGATAGTTTGTAAAGCATGTCCAATACCACGATAGTACATGACATTTGTCTGCAAAATATGAAATTAAATGCATTAATTGTTTTTTTTTAAGAAAGAGAACAGCAAAATTCACAAATAGAACTACCAGCTATTCAGCTCCAACAAGAATTTCATAATTATATACTTTTTGAAGCTCCCAGAAGTCAAAGAGAATCAAGCTACTAAGAATCAAATAAATGCCTATAACATAGTCACAGCCTTTGGGTGAGAAGGAATGGATCAAGCGCTACTACATAAAATGCTGAAAAACTCACTTCTGAAAGTTAGCTCAAAATTTGTCATATATCCACGGTAAATAGTACAAATATCAGCCAAGAGCAGTTATTATTGCAATACTTGCATGCTAATCACAAATACTGCTACCTCTGAACAAAACGCTTCTTATTAATATTGAAAATTAGACAAAAGAACAGCCCTCTGTATATACTTGAAGTCAGAAGTAGGTCAATATTCAACAAAAATGAAAAAAGATCAAGCTGCAAAGAAAAAAATAATATTATATCTCTGGAACAAGACATTTGCTAAGTTTCAAACAAAAAGCTGGGCCAACTAATGCACATGAGAGTAAAAAAAAGGTGAAAGTGATGAAATGTAAGAGTACAGATACCAACCATGTGACCAAAGAATATGTTGATCATACCTGAGCTGCAAGGCGTGTCCTTACAAGATCCAATGGATATGTAGCAGATGCAGCTGTTATTCCAGCCAACCCACCAGCTACAAAATGTACGCCCAGGTCTGCACTCATATTTTCCCTATGAATATCCAGTCCCCAGGATCATATGTAGGAACTAAAACATGTAAAATGAAACTCATCAAGACAAGAATGATAAAGATGTAAGCCAGTCAACTGCTTAAATTTTTAGAAGTATTATTCAAAAAGATCTCATTAAACTTTACATACCTTTTTGTAGCATTCATATGAATAGAAGTTGACAGATGAATATGGTAGCCGGTGAGCAATTGTAACCAGATTTCCTTTCCAGAAAGCCCTAAATCCTTCTTCCCTTATGACACGTGAAGCCTCATGCCATATGCTGGCCTTTCTCAAAATTGTAGTATTAGAATGCATACCTTGCACCTACAGAGATTAGATGTGATTAGCATGGTGGTTCAGTCTGTATCCTTTCAAGGTTTTACTAAGCAGCAAATTGTAGCGAAGACTTTCTATTCAATCAAAAGAAACCCCCCCTCCCCCCCCTACCAAAAACAAATATGCTGAAAAACCAGAGAACAACCAGTGAACTCCTGTAGATAAGATTTCCATAAGACTTCTATAATGCAGCAAGCAGTGGAGAGAACAACCAGTGAGCTACTCTAGCTATGATTTCGATAAGACTTGTATACTGCAGCACAGAAGCACCAAATATATTGCACGAACAGAATGAGATATAAGCTAGCTCTTTAAAATGATAACTTCTAACAAAATTTTATGGTCACTAATCTGCCATTTCAGCAACTATTTTCCTACTTGCACTTATGTTTCCAAAACTTCTGTACAGTATAACAAGCTTAGCAAGGGACACTGCGAGTACCACCAATACTGTCACTTCAGACCTAAAAGATTCTCAGCAAGATACTCACTACTCTCCTTAAATCATCCACCCCTACTTTGCCTATAAAACTGAAAGGGTACAACCTCAATTCACTCTTTCTAATCCATGAAAGTTCAAGAGAAGCAAACTTTCTGATATAAAAAATCAATTCCAATGACCAAGACATGGACATTTCCAATAATCCATCTTTACTCCTTCCAAACTCCATATAGAAAACTCCCTGTATTACCAATTTCCTTCGATATCATCTCTCTAAGTGCTTGCCAATCACTTGAGACTAAATATCAAAATATGTGGCTCAATACCATGCTACACTTCTCCCTTTTCTTCGTTTTTATCCATGTACACAAAGATCAAGGTCCGAAAGTTCATTGATTTTCACGAATTTCTACCCACATTCCTCATATTCCTCTACTGTAGGCGGCCCTAATAACCTACCAGGTAAACGTTAAAAACACAAGTATCCTGTCAAAACAAAGGCTTACACAAAACACCATGCTCAACTGCAACTCAAAATCCAGTCATTCCAAAACACCCATGTCTCACACTATACCAACAAATAAATCCCCAAAAAACCTGATCTTTTTTCCTCCAGCAAAATTTCACTCGTGATATCACCAACAATGACCTGAAACATCCGCTGTCTACAGTACAATTACCCAATCAAGCGAATCAAACCCCGCTATCAAACACAAAACACGGTTAGAATCAAACCTGAAAAAGTATTGTAAGACGAGCCAAAGGAGCCGTGCAGGTCTTGCTTAGAGCACCGGCAACCCCTCCTGCCAAAAGCTGGGGTACTGTCCCGATCTGCCCTTGTTGCTGCTGCGCCAACTTACGCGCTGCGTTATCCACAGAGACTCCTCCATGGCCGGAGTTCAGTCCCCTCTGTCCTCCTTCTACCACGACACCCATTCTTGCTTCTGTTTGCATCTCAAACAATCTTCTTCTCCTCTCTGTGTGTCTCTGTCTTAAGTTTTGTCCTTTCTGCTTTCTTTTTCTACAAATGTGCAAGCGTATGGTTGCACAAAATTTCCCAAAGCCCAAGAATTTCCTCTTCTTCTTCTCCTTCGTCTTTGTTGTCTAATTCTGTTCCTTTCGGTTCAGAGAATTTACCCTTACGTCTGCCTTCATTTATGGCCTCTCTTGCTTTTAACTCCAACGACGATAGTGAAAGTGAATTTTTGTCAAGCAAGGAGCAAACCGACGTCGTTTCGAATTTAGTTTCCATGTGCCAAGGGAAAAGTTTCCCGAAAGGAAAATTCTGCTATTATTATTTATAATTTAGGGTTTGCCCTAACATCCGTTTTTGTCATCATCGAAACAGACCGTCAGGTTACCCCGTTCTGTATTCTCTGCGGCTGGGTGTAGCGTTGACCAAAAAATGTCTGCAGCTGACTTGCTTCCTGTGAGGGCCACCGTTCGATCGTGGCTTCTGGGTTCTGATCCTACTATATGATGATGGTCGTTTGTGTTGTTATCGTGCGGCAGGAAGTGGAGGATTTTGGCAGCAGATAGAATTTAGTTGTGAAATATACGGTCCGGCTGGATTCGCCCCACGTGGCTGAATTATGGAAGTAACCGTTTCTTACTGTTGTATTTTTTATATATAAAATAATGACGCAATTAACATTTTCCTTACCTACTCTCAAATTTTTTGAAGGATCCAAAGTCTTATAATTTTTATTTTATTTTATTATTAATTAATTATACGTTAATGCTACTTTAATATCAGTAATAAGTTGTTACCGAATCAATGATATCAAATAATAATAAAAGTTGGAAATAAGTATAACTGGAATGTAAAAGCACCTATTTATACTTCTCCAGTTATTTATTTTTGAATTTTAAAAATTATATTTTATTATGTATAATTTGATTTTAGTACAGTTTAATTTTTATATTTTTGGTGATAATTAAATAATTAAACTAAACTATATAATTAAAAGATAATATATTAATATCACTTGATCATAAGATAAGCATCCAGACGACTCATGCAATATCTGTCACTGAGTTATTGCAGAATCTAATTCCTTTTTAGTGGTTAAACCATTACCTGCTAACTTTTCACACTATGCACTAACAATATTATTGTACTTTATGTAAATAGAATATGACTTCAATAAAAGTATCGAATCCGTATAGCATAAGTTTCTCTTATAAAACATTGGGAAATTGTAAAATCATTCTCTAAGCTCAAACACATTTGATTACATAAACTTTAAAAGAGTTTAGTAGCTTATTAATTGTATGATCAAATTTGGAAATTACTTTTTGATACTGTTCTTGCCCAGTGCTGTTATGACTACCTTAGGATTTCTCTCATCCCACACACTTAATTACTATGATAAGATTTAGAGCAGTACTATGATCACATCCCATAAAGATAACAGTATAATACTACATCACCATACATTTTTTCTCACACTCAACATACAAACCCTCAAAAACACATTCCAACTATAGACAAAAAGAATCCAAGAATTTGGGTGAAATAAGATAATACACTGCTGCAAACGTCATGATAGGAACCCATTATATCTTCTGTTCAATAAATTAACAAAAAAAGATAAAAAAAAAATAAAAACAGAATTCCTCCCTTCATTGGTGATGATCTGAGAGAATAGGTGATATGAGCTCAAAAATTTATCACCAACGAACTAAATGTCGTGGTGAATTTTATAAACAACTTTGTCGAGTGAGTACAAAATGTTGACTCAGTTACCTATCTATACATGGAAAAAAGCATAATTCTTGTATCACCAATCACAAATTTAATTGCCATGAGAAAGTTATGGACCTCTAATTTGCTAATCTTACAACTTAAATATCTCATCCGTCCAGTTGCAAGTAAATTCTAAAGGTGCTCGTGAGAACTATAATCTAGGAGTAACATCTGCTAGTAACGTCTTCAAGGTCTCATAGGCCATGAAGCATATACCCACACCAGGCACCACTTTGTAGTATTCAGGCAAAATCCCCCTATACAAACCTCGGAAACCTTCAGTCTGGATTATGTGCCTAAATATGCCAAGGAGACCTGTTGTGTAAACACGTGCTCGGCCACCTGCCCCTTCCAATTGTTTCCGTCTCCGTACCAGATCCAGAGGAAATGTTGCTGCACATTACACAGAGAAGACAATCAAAACATCTGTTATTATTATTTTGTAGGGCTCTTCTTGTAATTGAAATCTATTCCCCAATCCTATCACATTACTTTACTTAGTTAATACAATATTCCTAATATGTATAATTTCCAGGTTTGAATAGATTTTATTTTTACATTTATGCTGCATTTAATTCATTTCCTATTCGATTGCTAATTTTAATTCTCATCTCAATCTTAAAATCACCTATAGAAGGTAACTTCCTGTGATTTAACTTATCCCACCCCCATTAATTTTTTCTATGATGCAAATTCAAACCCTAACTTGACCATCAAGGAATGCAATATAAGGTTGAAATAATATCCACACAAAAAATTATGTTCTAGTTATGCATGTTAAGATGAAAACCACAACTAGGAATTAACTAATAATTCAATGAGAAATAAACTGAATCTATAATAATGCATGTAGCAAATAATATGCAAACCTTAGAGCCTAGAGACAAGTTCATTTGAGATCTACTCAGTCAGGAGCAATTGCTATTCTTTAAATAATATGCAAACCTTAGAGCCTAGAGACAAGTTCATTTGAGATCTACTCAGTCAGGAGCAACTGCTATTCTTTAAATAATATGCAAACCTTAGAGCCTAGAGACAAGTTCATTTGAGATCTACTCAGTCAGGAGCAACTGCTATTCTTTAATGAAGTTGCAAGTTTGAACTTCAAACCGCATGCAATTCTATCACCATGTTTTGTCTTCATTTCTTAGCTCATGTCAATTTCAGTAAATGAAGAACTATTGGTTCCGATCAGCTATATATTATGCAAGTTGAGAAATGGTTTCCGACAAATGCAACAGTAATGCTTGTACATCTCCACTCCATTAAGCAAATGGAAAGGAGTCAAACCTAGAAGAGTACTTCAATGAGGACATTTCTCACATTTAAGAGCTGAGAGAAAAATATTGGTTCACCTGAGAGTACTGCCACCCTATGAAAAAACCAACTGCAAATGTTGGAGAGACAAGTTACTGAAGCAATGCCAGATGACCACATTAAGTAATTATAAATGAATCTATATATATGGGGAAAACGAAGGTGCATTTTCTTTTTCCAAAAAATATTTTTGTGACTTCCTAAAATTCTCAAATGCCGCATAAAAAACAACTCTAGTCTGGGCCTTTCGCTCAAGGGGTTGTCTGGCTAGGTACTCAATGCAGAGCCAGCACCACATCTTACTTCTCTGCATCAAAATGATAGTAAAAAGCTACATGGATTAACTTCTTATTGTTTAACAGTGCTGTTTCTAATCAAACAAATTCAAGGGCTCAAATTAAAAGACTTTTAACTAAATGTTGCCGATCAGTAATACTCCAGCAAGAACCATTACTATTTCATGGAGAAGTCATAAAAGTGTACTGATTATTAAGAGGAAACACTTAACAGTTTAATGGAGTTGGCCCCAAAGTGAACCAAAGACACTCTTCATTTAAAAAAGGAAAAAGAATAACAAAAGTTAATGAGAAGGTTCTGATACAGCAAGTTTTAAGACTACTCACCTGTTGATGATGCAATGCCTGAAAGACTCCCACAAGCCAGGCTGACCATTACAGTAGAATCATGAGGCCTGGTGTCAAAATTAAAACACTACAAATTAGGATCCTAGTGATTTTAAGATGGCATATTGACACTGTATTTTGCAGAATTCTAATCCGGTAATAATCACCTATGTGATTGCCAAGAAGATCTCAACGTCTCATATACTGAGAAGCTAATTGCAATGTTGGGCCCAACACCCTGCATTAATGTCAAAAAACTGCAGTCAGCCACACATCAAAATGGGAAGCCCAAAACATAACTAAGTAGGTGACAAATTTAGAAGCTTACCAAGAGTGTTGCTCCAAGTCCTTTATAAAGGCCCAAAACACCCTCTTCTCTGATGATAGTTTGTAAAGCATGCCCAATACCCCGATAGTACATTACATTTGTCTGCAACATATGAAATTAAATGTGTTAAAAAAGGGTTAAATTCACAAAAAATACTACCAGGTTGGTGTCTCCACCAGAAAGTTCTTGGGAGCTTTAGAAAATCAAGCTAAAAGGAACAAAAGTGAAGCCTACAACACAGTCAAAGCCTTTAAGAAGGAAGGCACAAGTACATCAAGTCCTGAAAGACTGGCTTCCAAAAGTTATCTGAATTTGCAACAGGTTTATGGTAAAAAGTATGTAAATATCAGCCAAGAGCACTGAAAACTGCAGTAGCTAATGTTGCAATGCATTCACGCTAATCACAGGCATTACTACTTCTGAATAAAACAGGCTTCATCAACACTGAAAATTAGATAAAAGAAAGGCACTCTGCACATATTTAACCTCAGAAGCATGCCAACATTTAACAAAAATAGAACAAAGATGTACCTACAAAGAAAAAAACAAGATAATACCTCTGGGACAAGACATTAACCAAGTTCAAAAACAAATTATGTCTATTAATGCACATGAGACAAAGTAGTGAAAATGATTAAATAATAGAAGACAGAGACACCAACTATGTCAACAAAGAACACTTTCACCATACCTGAGCTGCAAGGCGTGTCCTTACAAGATCCAATGGATATGTAGCAGATGCAGCTGTTATTCCAGCCAAACCACCAGCTACAAAATGTACGCCAAGGTTTGCACTCATATTTTCCCGATGACTATCCATTCCGGGAATCATGTATAGGAACTGAAACATGTAAAACAAAACTTGTTAAGGCAAGAGTGATAAAAAGATAGAAGCCAGTCAGCTTCTTTAAGTTCTAGAAAGGTATCATTCACACAGATCTCATCATACTTCACACACCTTTTTGTAGCGTTCATAAGAATAAAAGTTGACAGATGAATATGGTAGACGGTGAGCAATAGTAACCAGATTTCCTTTCCAAAAAGCCCTAAATCCTTCTTCCTTTATGATACGTGAAGCTTCATGCCATATGCATGCCTTTCTCAAAATTGCAGTATCAGAATGCATACCTTGCACCTACAGAGATAAGATGACCTCAGTATCGTGGATGGAGATTTAGACTGTATACCATTTAACATTGTATTAGGAAGCAATTTGAAAATCAAGACTTTTAAGACACTCCAACAACCTTTTCCCCTCACTCCCCTAAAAAACATGCTGGATAAGAAGAGGATAATAAGTGAAATATACTTGATGAGACTTATTTGATAGCAGCAAGCAGTGGTCCACATATATTGCACTAATAGAATGAAATATAAGCTAGCTCATTAAGATGATGACTTCTGCCAAAATTTTATGAACACTAATCTGCCACATTGACAGCATTTTTCCTATTTGATGTCTTCATGTTTCTATCATTTCTACACAATCTACTCCAAAAAATAAAAGAGAACGGTACAAGTCCTCATCCGTTATAGTTTTGGATTTCTTAACACCAAGCTTAACTAGGAAATTGCTGAGTAACCCCAATATTGTTACTCCAGACCTAAAAGTTTCCCAGCAAGATAATCACTACTAGCATTGAATGAAGTCATCTATACTCTTATCTTACAAAATTAAGATCCAAGGGCCAGCTCCCACCTCAATTAACTCCTTTCCAATCCTTGAAAGTCCAAAAAGGGCAAACTTCTGATATTAAAAATCACTTCTAAGCACTCCCAGACGTCAATGTTCTCTGATGATCCATCTTAACTCCTATCTCCATATAGAATCCCTGTGATTAGCAATTTACTTCAATATCATATCTCCATAGTGCTTGCCAATCACCTGTGATTAAATTGTAAACTAATTCGCTCAATACCATGCTTCACTTCTCCCTTTTCTTTATTGTCACCCAAACACACAGATGAAGGCCAGTAAATTCGTTGATTTTCACAAATTTCTACCCACATTCCATCATATTCCTCTACTGTAGGTGGCCTTAATTACGTACCAGGCAAACGTTAAAAAACGTTAGCATCCTGGTTAAGCAAATACTAACACAAAACACCATGCTAAAGTGCAACTCAAAATCCAATTCATCCCAAAACATGAGCAATACCTATATCTCACAATCACAGTAAATAAATCCATAAAGCAAAATATCCCCTCAGATATCACCTCCAATAACTCGAAACATCTGCTATCAACCAAAAATTTATCTAATGAAGCAAATCAAACCCTACTACCATGAACAAAATAGTGTAAGAATCAAACCTGGAAAAGTATTGTAAGACGTGCCAAAGGAGCCGTGCAGGTTTTGCTTAGAGCACCGGCGATCCCTCCTGCCAAAAGCTGGGATACTGTCCCGATCTGCCCTTGTTGCTGCTGTGCCAACTTACGCGCTGCGTTATCCACAGAGACTCCTCCATGGCCAGAGCTCAGTCCCCTCTGCCCTCCCTCTACTACCACCCCTACTCTTGCTTGTGTATGCATCTCAAGAAATCCTCTTCTTCCTCTCTGTCTCGCTGTCTCTCAAGCTTTGACTTTTCTGCTTTATTTTTCTCCGAATGTCCGGGCAATGGTTGCATACAGAGTCCCAACGCCCAGGGACTTCCTCTCCTCCTTAGTCGTCGCCGTCTTCTTCTTGTTGTTGTTGTCTTCCCCTGGGTTTCAGAGCTTACCTTTCACGCTTCCTTCATTCGCCTCCTTAGAAGAGAGCGAGAGTCGGGTTTTGTAAAGTAAGGGGTAAGCGACGTCGTTTTTACGTTGGTTTCCGTACGAAAAAGGAGAAGTAAATATTTTTATTATTATTTTTTTTCTCCTTTAGGGTTTTCCGTTTGCGTCATTATCGCGACCGACTGTCCTCTCACCGACTTATATAATTTTCTGTGGCTGGGTGTAGGGTAAATAAGTAAAGTCAATCCTGATTTTGTTTCTTAGTGGAGCCCACCGCGAATTAAAGGTTTTCTGATATAGTCCATAGTGTTGTTAACATGTGGGGGGGAGTAGAGGATTATTTACTGAATCGCCAGTAGACAGCATCTGGTTGTGTTCAGTTTGGAATATACTTCTCAAGTTGAAACCGGCTAATGCGAGATGGCAACGTGTTTAACGTTTCTGAAGTCGTTTTGAATTTTAGAGATTTACATTATTAGATTTCTTCCACGTGGCTTAAATGGAAAGAACCGTAGCTCCGTTTATTTAGAAGTACTTGTATTTTGTAATTCAAATATTATTATCTTCAGCTTTATAGCTTAAATATTATTTAGCTTATAATATTTTCAATAATTATTATCCATTATTTAGATGTCCAGTATGAATATTTATTTTATAAAGAGTTACCTGATATAATTGAGTCCAAAATAATTTAGAATTAGAAATTGACAGGGTCTAAACTAATTTTATTTATGATGTTTAATTTTTCTAACAAAAATAATATAATCCAACTGGTTTTGCTTTCAAATCAAGAATTATAACTTTATTATGACGAATTAGTTAGTGCTCAAAAGGGTAAAATCTAAAAATCTTGTTGACCTGAGATATTATACAAAAATTATTAGACTAAATGATAATTATACATAGCTTCAAAACTGGTTCTCATATTCAGTGCTCCAACATTTATTGAAAGGCATCAATAGATGCGAAGGCAATGGTTGTGGCAACTGGGTTTTACGAGTACCCAATGTTAATGTGATGCTGCTGGTAATTTGATCACCAACATCAATTTGAGGATCATTGCTATGTGATTCACAATTATAACATGTATATTTCTCTTCCTCCCTCTTTTTGTAGGCGTATTCTTTTGTTTGGATGTTTGAAGAATATTTCTAGTTTGGCCGAGATGAAGGATGTATATCTGCTGTAGGTAATTTGATCACCAACATCAATTCGAGGATCATTGCCTTGTGAATTACAATTATAGCATGTATATTTTCTCTTCCCTCTTCTTGTACGCGTATTCTTTTGTTTGGATGTCTGGAGAATATTTTTAGGTTGATTGTATTAGAATAAAAATTCTTTTCAAATCTGTATATTTGTAAAAATTAAACATACATTTTCATATTGAATTAAAGAAAAATATTAGTAGAAGTGTAAGTGAATCTATCGCAGAAGATTTATTTGCATCCGACGATAAGATCTTCTAAATCAACATGACGCCTTAAAACTAGTTTTTTCTAGTGACAGAATTTCAAAAAAATAAATGAACTTTGTGATTACCGTCTTTTATATCGACTAATTTTTGTAATTTTCATTTCACTCATTATAAAATAAAAATATTACAAAAATGTATATGCACATTACAAGCTCATACTTAAATCCGATGCATTAAGACCCAATATTGTTTAATTATACTTGATCATTTTTAAATGAACTCATTAAATTGATAACTTGATATGCATATCAAGGTCCATATGAAGCCCACATGTTAAAAAAAATTCAACAATCTCCCACTTAGGCTTTATGTGACACCTTAATTATGCGTTCATTAGCCGCATGAGTACTCAGAACTGTGCTATCAATACCTGAATGCATCACCAAACAATATTGTCCATCGATCGTAAAGACATATGATCAAAGTGGTCTTCGCTACAGTTAACGTAGCTAAACCCATCAATGATTACGTATATCAGTATAACCGAATGATATGGATCAAACATAAATGTGCAGCATAGAAATTACATGTTATGTGATCTAAACATACCTATTTTCAACTGCTTATGCCTTAATCTTAGTGAGATAAACTGTAAGAAAATTTAAAGATAATAATATATATAAACATAAATGAAAAAAAAAAAACTTAAATGAAGCCATATATATATATAAACCAAATCAAAGTATATAGTTTATGATACGTCTTACAAAATAATTACAACTATAGTATAAGACTCTCACTAAAACTATACATCATCTAGGGATACAACACCCTTATGAGCAGTGTGCTCATGAAAGACCTTAGGTGATAATCTCTTAGTGAGCGGATCTGTAATCATGGAGTTTGTTCCAATGTGTTATATTAATATTTACTTAATATGAACTCTTTCTTTAACAACAAGGAACTTTGTAACACCCAAATATTTTTTTTTGAATTTTTATTTTTATTTTTGTATTTGAATTTTTAGTTTAATTTTTTTATATATTTAATTTATAAGATTTTAATTTAATTTAATTTAATAAAAATAAAAATAATAATAATGATAAAATTCAATAAAAATATTAATTGAATTTAATTAAAATTGATTTTGGAAAAAATAGGTGAAAATTTGGATTATGGAGGTGTTTTTGAAAAGAAAATCAGAAACCGGGGGTTAAAACGCAATTTAGAAAAATTGTGCCATGTCAGCAGCCATGTCAGCAGCTCGGTCAGCAGCCCCGGCCAACCAGGACACGCCGCGTGGCAAGAAAACGCTGACACGGGACTGGCCACGTGGGCGATCCGCGTGCGCGCGATCGGACGGTCCAAATCCGTTCCCGCGTGCACGGATGGTCCAGATCAAACGTTCGCACGGACGGTCCAGATTCAATCAGGCAGGGACGACCC